TGTGTCCTCCATTATCTCCCGGTCGGCTTCCATTTTGGGCCATACTTCCTGCTGATGACACATGACCTGTAGGACGAGGGTCAGGGTTTACAGCATCCTGCCTTCAAAGAGTCGAGAGGCGCGCTTTCATCCCTCTGCCGGCCCCTAAACCTGGGCTCACCTACACGGGGCCAAGGCCACGGATCCTCAAACAGAAGAAAACATGTGGGCGCTCACAATCGTGTCGTCGATCGTGGTCAGATTGTGATGATATTTAGATAGATAAATACTTTATTCATCCCCCAAAGGAGAATCTCAGGTGTCCGGCAGCAGAAACACATCCATCCATACAAACAAAAGCATACATAATTCTAAAAGTTTCTAACAATAGTAAGTAGGCACTTTAGGTCAAAACAGCAGTAGTCTCTGGTCATGAGCTGCTTCCTCTGGTTGATGTTTCCAGTCTGCCTGGTTCTGACCATTTTCGCTGAAATTCTGAATAGCATTTTTTCCAAAGAAATAGAATTCCTCCAGTAGATTTCCGCTTGATCTGCTTGGTTCGGACCATCCTCTCTGCTCTGCTCTAGATCAGTGTAAAACCATGAATGTACTGCAGTAACATTTACAGGAAATTTGTGATTGTTATCTGATTTCATAAAAAAAACTCATTCAGTTGTAATCATAATTTTTTTAGTTTGTTCGGCGCGTTTCTGCCAAAAAGTGTTTGTTGATTCAGCCTTTCCATAATGATCTTGATATTTGCAAGAACTGCATCTGCTGATTCTGTACTCCACATGTGTCCATCACGAGGTCCGCAGTTTGGATCTGCCCGTTTTAGACCATATCCTTATTAGAATGTCCTCCAGGAGAGTCACTTCAGCTTCAACCTTACCTAAGATCTCATACTAATTGGAAGAATTAATCAATTATCAAAATAGTGGTTAATGACACTCCGAGGTCTTAGGATCTAATTTCTTCGTGCCATAACAGAGGCAGACTTGTTCCCAAGATGGTTGTTTAAAGCTTGAGTTTCCCCCGCAAATGATGGCTTCTGATTGGTCAAACCTTTTATGGCTCATATTTGGATTTCAAATTCAATTCAAGTATCTTTATTTGTCTGTGAGGAATTGACACTTATAAAAGACAAAGGTATAAAATACAAATACAATAAAAGTGCAGAAATACAGTATGAAAAGTCACATCATAATCTGCTTCAGCCAAAACAGACCTCGCCCCAATCAACTGTTTAAAATTCGGATTGAGGTGTGGAGGAATCTGGGTGTCGGCCATACTGCATGCGAAAGCCAGATTCTGTCAGACCTTTGAAGCTGTGCAGGGCAAGACCTGGTTAGTGCTGTGATGGGAGACCTCTGTGAACACCAGGTGCCACAGACTTGGAAATTGCTTTGGCTCAGTGCAACAGTCAGAGAGAGATAATAAAAAATAAAAAACACTTCTAAGGAATAAATTTAAATTTAAAATAGAGTTACAGTTACTATATACAAGTGCACATGGTGCACATGGTGCACACAATGTAAGGTGACAGCAGTACAGTGAAGTAAAGTGACGTATGATGGGCAGTAAAGTGACTTTATAAAGGGCGGGGGGACAGGTTAAGAAGTGTTCAAGAGTCCAACTGCAGAGGGGAAGAAACTGTTCTTGTGGCGGGAGGTTCTAGTCCTGATGGACCGCAGCCTCCTGCCTGAGGGGAGTGGTTGGAATAGTCCATGTGCAGGAGGGGTCGGCTGTGATACGACCAGCCCGGCCTCGAGCTCGGGTGACGTATAGGTCCTGCAGCGATGGAAGGCTGCGGCCAATCACTTCCTCTGCAGAGCTCACAATGCGCTGTAGTCTCTGTTTGTCCCTGACTGTGGCTCCAGCGAACCACACGGTGATGGAGGAGGTGAGGATGGACTCGATGACCCAAAATGTAGACAGTGGCAGAAACAGTTACTTAGCAAGAGGAGTTTACTTTTACTTTTTACTAGCATTTCTCCATTGGGCTCGACTAATCGACTAATTGGAGCAATTAATCAGTTATTAAAGTCATGGTTCGTCACAGCTCGAGGTGTGATGTCCCTGCAGTGAAATGTGATCATATTTGTGCAGATTTAGAGAATCTGTCAGCATTGATGAGAGCTGTTATTGGACGGGACATATCGCTGCAGTGCTGAGCAAACGTGTGCAGCTAGAGCAGGTTAGCATCACGCCATCGACCCCCAGAAGCTCACAGCCGCCTTAATTACAATGGATCGGGGGCCAGCATTGATTGGCTCAGGTGACAGCTGATGACTTACTGCGCGCACGCTAGCATAGTGAGCGCAACGGCGATCGTACGGTGCACACGACTGCGACATCCGGACGAGACTTGGTGCGATTTGATCCATTTCAAGATATTTGGATTCAGATACAAGACTTTTATATTCAACAAATCATTGAGGAACCTCTGAAGGTGACGCAGCACTAGAGTAAAAACTATTATAATACATTCAAATAAATCCGTATAGTATCTAGATGTAATCCATGAATTACAAATAGTTTGACCTTTGTATTTATTGATAGCATAGATTGATAAGTACCAGTGTAGCGGATAGTAAAGGGAAGGTTAAATTCTTTCAGACAGAGACAACAGGTCTGAGAATCAAAAAGTTGTAGATCCAGGATTGAGGCTGTAGATCAGGACTGAGGCTGTAGATCAGGACTGAGGCTGTAGATCAGGACTGAGGCTGTAGATCAGGACTGAGGCTGTAGATCAGGACTGAGGCTGTAGATCAGGACTGAGGCTGTAGATCAGGACTGAGGCTGTAGATCAGGACTGAGGCTGTAGATCCAGGCTTGAGGCTGTAGATCCAGGATTGAGGCTGCAGATCAGGACTGAGGCTGCAGATCAGGACTGAGGCTGTAGATCCAGGATTGAGGCACTGTGGTGCAGGACTGAAGGGGCTCCCAGGCGGGGAGGGGGGTTTAGCCCACTAGTCCAGGCCAAGCGCGACCAGTTCACAGGTGCAGGCAAAAGAGGCCGGTTTCAGGGGTCCCATCATCACTGCATAAAACAGACCATGGAACAGCGGGTGAAGAGCAATGAACAGACTACAGCTGATGGCGTAATGATGTGTTGTTACCATACTTCTCCAGCAGGGGTCTCCATATGCAGCATCACTGACAATCTGTGCTTCTTTTTTAGGTTGTATTTCTAAGTCTTACCTGGGTCTTACAGAGTACCTAACCATATGTTGAATTCAAGAGGACTGTTTTAATCCTGGCCTTGATGTAGAGACTGTCTGCTTCCTTGACGTGGATGAGGAGCTGATTCCACAGTAGTAGCTCGGTGGCTAAACGCTCTGCCTCCGACTGCTCTTTTTGACACTTAAGGAACCACCAAAAGTTTGCCGTTTTGCGAGCACAGTGAGAGTTTGATTGATATGATACTAACGTGTCTTGGAGGCAGGCTTGTGTTTTTAAAAGAAGGATTATTTTATACTATTCTATACTCTTTACAGGAAGCCAGTAGAGTGATTTTAAGACTAGAGTTATATGTTCCCTCCTTGTAGTGCCTGTGACAAAAGGATTACTTTTACTTGACTTAAATTTGAATATTATGTTTTGGTAGATCTTTCTGAAAATAATGACTTCCGTTACTATTTGGATTAACTGAACCAAAACTAACAAAGGCATGTAATTGTAGACTGTGAGGACAATGATTTATTTTTTATAAGGAATATTTTCATTATGTGTTTGATTCAAATGTTAGAAGGAAAATTAGCTTTAAGATGAGGTATAACATGCTAGGATTCCTCTTACCTTCAAAGATGCAACATATTAATTATTGAAATAGACATAATCCAAATTTACTCTGTATTTCACTGTTACCTTCTCAGGGTTCAACTTCAGCTCTTGGTTTCACTTTTGCGTTGTGACCCAGACTGGGCTGACCTGACTCTTGTTATTGTGATGTTGCAGTGTGTCGCACAAAGGTGAAAAGTATTTTATTTTTGTCCGTGTGGGAGTGTGTGTTTGTGCCTGTGTGCCTGTGGCTCCTGGACATGGCTCTCTCAGTGGGCCGGCCCTGACCCCCTGCAGTGTGCTCTTATCGAGCCCAGATCGAGGACTTTCATGTGGGCTCAGACCTGGGGGAGTGTTGCCGTGCCCCCACCCCCCCTCCCCCTTGTCTTCTCAGTTGGATCCATGTCCAGAGGAGTTCTTCACCAGATAATGGGCAACCGCACACAATGCAGACCAAGAGTTGCATTGTCTTTTGAAATTTTGGTCTGCCCCAGTCTGTGGAGGCCAGAGTATGGACTGAAATGTGTTTTCTAGATTCTGTCATAAACGTCCATAAATGATGCAAATCTAGATGTGGTCTGAATCAACATGGACACTTAACAAACCTTATTCTAAACCCAGATCTAAACCCAGATCAGCCACAATCCAGTCCAACCAATTCAACAATCCATGTTTGTCGGCCCCTGGACCAATCTGGTGAACTAAAGTGGCCCTCGTACTGAAAAGTTTAACAAGATATTCTTTATTGATCTCACTATGGAGAATTTTGGTTCGATGAATAGTCATATAGACATATCGCATAAAGGCATTTAGTGTGCGTAAAGTGTCTTGCCCAAGCACACAAAGACAGCAGACGACAGTGGGAGTCGGTGGAGAAGGTCTTGAAATCAACACTAACTTCAACCTTATCAATGGAACATGTGTAGCCCGGTTTTCTTGTGTACCTGGGAGCAGTGGTATGGAATTTTCATTTTCACTTTCATTTTGCTTGTCTGGTCTTTATTAGAATCCGAATGTAGGATTTTTCATCTCAATTGTTTGCGTTTTGATTAATTCTTTCAAACAAAAGAAAAAAACACATGAACAATATTAAATTTCAAAGTGCACGTGTCATGGACATTCTTGGCTAAATCGTGCAGTGACTCAAAGTAGATTATTTTCATTAGCTGTGGACCTTTTGCTCCTTCTCGTGGGCTATCAGCTTCTCACAAACCAGATCTAGTGTCTGCTTTTCCTACCTATTGGTTTACGTTGCTTCTGACGGGCTTCTCCCTGCAGCCTGATCCATTTGCGCTCCCCCCCCCCCCCCCCTCACCTCTGCTCCAGTCCTTGTACAAACAGCCCATGTTCACCTCTGGCCCCTCAGCCTTACCTGCTAATCTCCCTCCGCGGACCCCCACCACTGACCCCCTCCACTCCAGCAGCAGACACCTAAAGCAGTCTCCCCCTCGGACCTCTGACCCCTCCACCGGTGCGACTGGCGTTTCCAATCGTCTGACCTCGGCTTGCTCACGCCTGCTGTGAGGCGGGACGGCACGGCTCCGACTGCACTGGACAGGAAATGGATGAGACTTGAACGGTCAAATTGAGATGCTACTCCCCGTGTCGGGCCGGAATCGGACTCAAAGAATGTAATATCTGTGTTGCTACTATACATCAATATCTCAAGGACTGGCCATCTTTGCTCTGACCCACATTGCTACTAGTGTCTACAGTGACTTGCGAAAGTATTCGGCCCCCTTGAACCTTTCAACATTTCGCCACATTTCAGGCTTCAAACATAAAGATATTATTTTTTTATTTTTTGTCATGAATCAACAACAAGTGGGACACAATCGTGAAGTAGAACAAAATTTATTGGATAATTTAAACTTTTTTAACAAATAAAAAACTGAAAAGTGGGGCGTGCAATATTATTGGGCCCCTTTACTTTCAGTGCAGCAAACTCACTCCAGAAGTTCAGTGAGGATCTTTGAATGACCCAATGTTGTCCTACATGACTGATGATGATAAATAGAATGCACCTGTGTGTAATCAAGTCTCCGTATAAATGCACCTGCTCTTTGATAGTCTCAGGGTTCTGTTTAAAGCACAGAGAGAACCATGAAGACAAAGGAACACACCAGGCAGGTCCAAGATACTGTTGTGGAGAAGTTTAAAGCCGGATTTGGATACAAAAAGATTTCCCAAGCATTAAACATCTCAAGGAGCACTACTGTGCAAGCAATTATATTGAAATGGAAGGAGTATCAGACCACTGCAAATCTACCAAGACCTGACCGTCCCTCCAAACTTTCATCTCAAACAAGGAGAAGACTGATCAGAGATGCAGCCAAGAGGCCCATGATCACTCTGGATGAACTGCAGATAACTACAGCTGAGGTGGGAGAGTCTGTCCATAGGACAACAATCAGTCGTGCACTGCACAAATCTGGCCTTTATGGAAGAGTGGCAAGAAGAAAGCCATTTCTCAAAGATATCCATAAAAAGTCTTGTTTAATGTTTGCCACAAGCCACCTGGGAGACACACCAAACATGTGGAAGAAGGTGCTCTGGTCAGATGAAACCAAAATCTAACTTTTTGGCCACAATGCAAAACGATATGTTTGGCGTAAAAGCAACACAGCTCATCACCCTGAACACACCATGCCCACTGTCAAACATGGTGGTGGCAGCATCATGCTTTGGGCCTGCTTTTCTTCAGCAGGGACAGGGAAGATTGCTAAAATTGATGGGAAGATGGATGGAGCCAAATACAGGACCATTCTGGAAGAAAACCTGTTGGAGTCTGCAAAAGACCTGAGACTGGGACGGAGATTTATCTTCCAACAGGACAATGATCCAAAACATAAAGCCAAATCTACAATGGAATGGTTCACAAATAGACGTATCCAGGTGTTAGAATGGCCAAGTCAAAGTCCAGACCTGAATCCAATCGAGAATCTGTGGAAAGAGCTGAAGACTGCTGTTCACAAACGCTCTCCATCCAACCTCACTGAGCTCGAGCTATTTTGCAAGGAAGAATGGGCAAGAATTCCAGTGATGTGCAAAACTGATAGAGACATACCCCAAGCGACTTGCAGCTGTAATTGCAGCAAAAGGTGGCGCTACAAAGTATTAGCGCAAGGGGGCCGAATAATATTGCATGCCCCACTTTTCAGTTTTTTATTTGTTAAAAAAGTTTAAATTATCCAATAAATTTTGTTCCACTTCACGATTGTTGTTGATTCTTGAGAAAAAATAAAAATTTGATATCTTTGTTTGAAGCCTGAAATGTGGCGAAATGTTGAAAGGTTCAAGGGGGCCGAATACTTTCGCAAGGCACTGTATATCTCAAGCATCAGCGTTAATATTTCAATTGGTGATACACATTGTATAAAAAGCGGTGTCTTTTGTTCTACCTGGAAGAAATAAACTGAAAGTTCCAAGTGTGCATTGCATTTCCCGTGTTTGAACCGTTTGATTCTCTCATCTGTGTTGGCGAACCTTTATAAAGTCCTCTGAGATAACTACTGTTGTGATTTAGGGCTATACAAAAACAAATTGAATTGAATTAAACATGGTCAAAGGCAGCGAAAAGTCCAAATAGCATGTTGTATCCCATCGTTGCTTTGGCTGTGGCATCTGTAAACTCCAACACTGATGCCGTCTCTCTTCAATACTTCTGGCCCACAACCCGAGTGCCAAACCCTCCGACACGGCGCCTGCTCCGCTTTGCCTCGTCATCCCGCGTTTCGCAAATGACTCCTCACGGTTTTTCCACAGCGGTCGCCTGAAAAAGCGCTGGTCTCATCCAGAACCCAAGCCAGCTCTTACGGCAAAACTGTAATCTTGGAGTGAGGTTTTAAACAAGTCTTTATTATCTCAATCTACCGTGCTCTTTCCATCCATCAATCACCAGCCACAGGTATGGTTCCCCAAACAAAGGCTGCAAATTCCTCCACTTTATATCAATATCAAACGCCGTGGCTTCAAAGGAGGTAATTGTAAACACATTTCCAGTCACCGCGCTCACTTTTAGCTCGCTTTTCAATAGGCGTTTAATTCAGGGCTTTGTTCCAACTGCTTTCACAATCAGGATTAAACGCAATCTGGAGGTGTCAGAGGAAAAAGGCAAACATTCGCAAAGCCCGGGTCGTCTGAAAGGGGGGAGGAAAGGTGTATTAGTTTTCAAACGCAGGGAGGAGGAATGGGAGGCCTTTTTTGTGGAACAGCTGTAAGTATTTCAGGGCACAGATTATTTATACAGTACTTCAGCCGCGGAGCTCGTCAGAAAAGTTGAGCCATGTCCACCGCAGCAGAGAGACAGAGCCGAGCCAAGCCAGGACTGGGACGTTTAATACAATTGTACTCATGCAGGATTCCGTCATTTGTAATGGTGTGGAACTTGAAATTGTGTGTGTGTCTCTGTCAGTGTTGGTCTGTCTCTGTGCGTGTGTGTGTTTCTGTCTCTGTGTATGTCTTTCTGTCTGTGTTTGTGCGTGCGTGTGTGTGTGTTTCTCTGTATGTGTGTGTGTCTCTCTCTGTGTGGGGGGGGGAGATGTTTGGAAAAGTCAGCAGCAGTTTGGTGGTACAAAAACCAAAAACGCAGGTTTCAGGTGTAAATTACCCTAAAATCCTTGCCCCGCCCCTTAATCATAAATTACCATGTTTTGAAAAGTTATTATTGTTCAAAACGGGTCTTTTTGTAAAGTGTCCAAAAAAGTTCTAACTATGTATTATGAATACGAGAGGATAGAGGACCATAGGAACCGTCTTAAAAAACAAGAAATCAGTGCAGACAAAAATGTTTTATCGGCTAATGTTTCCACCTTTTACAGCTTTCATCACAGTGGATTGCATTTGGTGAGGGTGGGAGTCAGGGGGTTTGGTTATATTGGTGAGATGAGAGAAGAGAGTTTGGAGTTTTGATGATTGGGAGTGATGTAAAACCGGAGGTTGTAGGTGGATTTGGCAGCGAGAGATGGTCCTTGTATAGCATGATGTGGTTTTGTACATTGTTTTGTGAATGGTGAGTCCAGTTTTATTTGAAGAGCGTTCAAGTTGACGTCCTTGGGATTTGAGCTGACGGTGGGCAGTGGTGAACCAGGGTGATGAGAGCGTGAAATGAGACGGGTCGGGTTTTGAGAGGAGGCATGATTTGTTCAGGATGTTATGGAGAGAAGGACGTGTGAAGTGGTAGACCCAGGTCATGGGGGAGTCATTGGGATCAGTAGGTGGGGAGGTTATTGATTTCTGAGGCGTATAGGGGGCACAGTGTTTATGTCCTGAATTTTACGCGAAAGAAATGGTTCGGGGAAGGATGGTCTTGAGTGGGTGAGGTTGATATTGAAGGTGATGAGCTTATGGTCTGTGTTATGGGAGTGGGACGTGTGAGGTTTACAGTCAGTGGAGTGAGACCAGAGCAGCAGAGTAAGTCCTAAATGTGACCTTTAGTGTGGGTGGGGAATATGATTGTGTTGTTGTTAACCAAACTATTAAACAGGGAGAGAGTCTTTGGTGAGAGGGTTGCTATATTGTCCAGTGAATGGTAGAATGTCCCCAAGTATGGACTGCGTTATGTGAGATAGATGGAGAAGTGTGTTATGAAGGTAGAAAAGTCATTTAAAAAGTCCTTATTAAGTTTTGGCGGGCGGTAGATGGTGGCAAAAACACCTGTAGGAGAAGGTCCATGGCACGCAGTGAGGCAGAGTACTCGAAAGGAGGTGATAGACAGGGGCAGCAGCACAGGTGATGACATTTCCAAGGTCTCGCGGAAGCATCGCGATGACATTCCGCCCCGGTCGGCCACAGCTGCGGGGATGGCAGATGTAAACAAAACCCGGTGGAGTGGAGTTCTGTTCAACGCGGCAAAGTCATTTGCTGCTGACAAGGTTTCGGTCAACACAAGATGTCTCAGCGTACGGTCGACGAGGACATCCGGCCCAGATGGCCCTTGGGGTTGAGGGAGCGCACGTTGAGGGAGTCCGATTGCTACGGTGTGGAGCTGTTCTTGGATGACCGCGGGCTGTGCCGATCGGGACACGCTGACCAGGACACTGTCTGCGTAACGTCCAGCGGCGTTTGTTCTGGTGAGCAGCGGCTGCAAGCGCGCCAGCCGTTCACTCTCTGATCCAATACTGGTTAATACTGCAGTGATATGACCTCTTTAGTTCAGTTACTATCAGTTAGTTTAGAGTTTTTGTGAGAAAAAACACATGGATGACTAAATCTTCGTTACAACAATAATAAGCCATGAGACTTGAATACAGATTTATATATTCATCTTTTAAATTGCATTACTCAAGCTATAACAGTGCAATATCAATGAAACCAATCAAAGGCCTCCCATAATTTGGCCCCATGAATTAAAAACAACTCTTTGCAAAACATGTCACAAACATACATTAACATTGTGAAGAATGGAGGTTCTTTTATGTTGGGGACATATACGACAGGATCTTTTATCAGCTGTGTTGCAGGTTTGGCTGGAGATCCAGTTCTGTACACGTGTTTGCGAGGAACAGAAACAGACAAAGGAAAAGAGTTTATATTTATTCTATAGCCAAATACACATTTAATCAACCTTTATGCTTATGTGTCTGGGCAAACAACAAACAGAGGTTGCTTCAAATGGAAAACTGGCATTAGAAAGGTTCAGGAAAATAAATGACAAAATATTAATTGCAATATATTTGCTTAATGTAGCATAGTTAGCTTGATTAGCTGCAGACAATCGCAGATCGGGTAAACTCTCTTTAGCTATAATTTGAAATTACGTCAAACATAAATCTTCCTTCACAAATTCGTCATAACGATCACAAGAACTACAGGAGCTTACTTTTGGGGTCATAAAAATATGCACAAACAATGTACAAAGTCAGATTCACTATAGTTTAATACTATTCTAATCAATTTACAAATATGTTTGCATATTTGCTTTGAGCCATTTCTTAAACATATATTTTTATCTAATAAAATCTCTCTGTGGTTTACTTTCATTATCAGTGGCTTTGTGTCAGTGGATTTTGCTCTATGTTTTTTCAGGAATAAAACTGAACACAGAAAGACAAATGGTTTAATTTGAACATTTTTTTGGCGGTTGTTTTCCAAATACTAAATTGTTGAACCAGGAAAGTGATGTCACTTATCCTGCTTTCTAGGCAGTTTGGGAGATTGTACATCAATTAATCAAAAGATGTTCATTCATGCCGCGTCGGGGTCCGCTTTGCCCTGTCGGTACTTATTTTCCGATAATGTCCTGCGTAATATTAGTTTATCCCGATGATTTTACGGCTTGGTATACAACAGAACACGCAACTAAACTTCAGTCAACTTTTAGGGATTGCCGAAAGGTTTATTAATGAAAGAGAATTAAATAGTTCACAAAGGCATTTCCCGTGCTATGTAGCAAACAGTTAGGCTGGCAACTTCCTATCTAGAAATCTTCTGGAACTGCATGAAAACTGAACCAAAGATTTCTGAACATCTAGCTGTGAGTGACCCAACATATACTTAACCTATAATCCATAATTCCGATCCTCTGCAAATGTTCCTTATATGTGCCGGTATCTTAAAATGTGCCGGTATCTACTTCCGGTTTTCGGGATCGCCTTTTCTTGTATTACATCAGTGTTTGTGTTATGAAAACAGCTAAACGGAAAATTCTGGAAACGTTCCGGCACTTGTATTAAGACTGATTTGTATTTAATTCATCTCCTATTTACATTTCATTTGCGTTGATGAATGGCATTTGCGTTGATTGAGCGGCCGGAAACTACATTCCGGGTTTTTCTCGATCGCTTTTTGACGCAGAGAATTAGTATTTTTGTCATGTGACAAGACCAGAAATCTGAAAATCTCCGTGCACGTGTGTGAGAATGTATATGTTTAAGGTATTCTCGTTTAACATTTAAGTGTGTTGTTTGGAGCGTGGACTCCAGCTCCGGAGTGGGCCAGAGAATACTTGCGGTGTTATCCGACGCTCAAATCAACACAACTTAAATGTTTATTCGGAGAATACTTTATAACATATACATTCTTCACACACGTGCACGGAGATTTTCAGAATAATAAATTTTCTGGTTTGACTTCTTGACTAAATACTATTTCATCTGCGTCATAAAGCGATCGTTGATAAAAAATCCCGGAAGTAGTTCCCGGCAGCTCATATAGGCGGTAATGCCAATCAATCTACGCAATGGGAATGTTTATTCGGGAGACAGTGAATTATTATCAATCCAGTACTTTATACATAGTGCACGGTAGTTCTTTCAGAATTTTCCGTTTACGTTTTCATAACCAAAAACACTGTATGTTTATACAAGGATAAAGGCGATCCCGAAAAACCCGGAAGTAGATACCGGCACATTTTAATGATACGGCTCATTTTTTAGGAAATTTGCAGAGGAGTCGTATTATGGGTTTTAGGTTAGTCTTATGTGTGGGTCACTTCAACCGCTGCTGTTCAGAATTTCTTTGTTCAGTTTTTAATGCTGTTCCAGAGAGTTTAGTTTGGAAGTTGCCAGGCCTAACTGTTGCTAGCTTAGCACGGGAAGCACTTTGGGATCTAATTTTATTCTCTGTCATTAAATTAAATCCTTTCGGACATTCCTAAAAGTGGATGAAGTTATGTTGTGTGTTCTGTGGTTTTAAAGCGGTATATAAGGGCCGAATTAAGTATATACGCAGGTCATTTCGGAAAATATGTACGACAGGGCATATGCGGATACCCGTCGCGCTTGATTGTACATCTTTGTTTATGAGTGTACAATAATACCTAAACTGGCACTGAGAGGAGGAAGTGACATCACTTGCCTGTTCAACAGATGTATTTGGAAAACTGACGCCCTAGAATAATGTTCTTATTAACCATTTGTATTTCTGTGTTCAGTTTTTTTCCTGAATAGACA